AACCAGGACGCTACTGTCCTTCCCCCACAATCTTCTCGCCAATGCAAGCGAATGGACACCGGTCGTTTGATGCAGCCCTGGTTCTAAAGTCTCCAGTAACGGAACTACTGAGTCGACGGGCTTTTCCCATAACGCATACGCATCCAATCAACCCGCTGAGCTTCACTGATCGTAACTCCCGGAGAGCCAACATACCTGCTATCAATACCAACTCTACTCCAGCAAACTCCAAAGATCAGCTCCATTACGGTGCTCAGTTCGACATGAACTTCGCTCCTTTACTCCCATCACAGCTCCTCCTCGGTAGCCCCTTTCAACCAGGGACTCCGTCCGCCTTCGCCTCGCCCCAATTTGGCAACTTCCCAGGTTTTTCGCAATCCAATCAGACTGTTGAACAGAGTCACCAAAACCAGCTCAACAGCCCAACTCAGGCTCAACATGGACCCCTATCGCCCCAGATGTATCAAAGTCTGATGTCTCCCGGTGGCATGGGAAGTTCCGCTCTATTAGCCGGTCCGACTTCGCCCATATCAGGGCTCCCAGCGTTTGCGAATGCATTTGCCCCAAGCCCGCAGCTTCAATCGGGGCATGGCATCCTGTCAGGAACCAGCCGGACTGTTTATCTAGGAAATTTGCCTCCGGAAACCACCTCGGAAGAGATTTTGGGTCATGTGCGGAGCGGCCAAATCGAATCCGTCCGCCTTCTCCCTGACAAGAACTGTGCCTTTATTTCGTTCCTGGATAGCAGCTCTGCTACTCACTTTCATTCAGATGCCATCCTTAAAAAATTATCTATCAAGGGTAATGATATCAAAATTGGATGGGGGAAGCCGTCGCAAGTTCCTACATCCGTAGCACTTGCTGTGCAGCAATCACACGCGTCCAGAAATGTATACCTTGGAAATCTGCATGAAGATGTTACCGAGGAGGAACTACGTGAGGAGCTCGGGAAATTTGGCCCCATCGATACTGTGAAACTTGTGAAGGAGAAGTCTATCGGCTTTGTCCATTTCTTGTCTATCAGTAACGCGATCAAAGCAGTTACTCAACTCCCGCAGGAACCCAACTGGCAACCCCCAAAAAGAGTTTACTACGGCAAGGATAGATGTGCATATATCTCAAAAACCCAACAACAGAATGCTGCACAATACCTTGGGATTGCCCCCGGATATGCCCATACGCTAAACTCACACGATCGTGATATACTTTCAAATGCGATAGCACAGCAATCCTTGGCCGCCGCTGCCGTTGCAACCTCCGCTGGTGGCATGCATAATCTTGGAAACAGAACAGTATACCTGGGTAACATTCACCCAGAGACGACGATCGAGGAGATTTGCAACGTTGTCCGTGGCGGCCTCCTGCATCATATCCGGTACATACCAGACAAGCATATCTGCTTTGTTACCTTTGTTGATGCTACATCTGCTGCTTCTTTCTACGCACTTAGCAACATGCAAGGTCTAATGATCCACAATAGAAGGCTGAAAATCGGATGGGGCAAACATTCTGGTGGACTTCCAACGGCAATTTCATTGGCTGTCAGCGGAGGTGCATCCCGCAATGTGTACATTGGAAACCTGGATGAAACTTGGACCGAAGAACGCCTACGCCAGGATTTCTCGGCATATGGTGAGATCGAATTAGTCAACACACTTAGAGAGAAAAGCTGTGCCTTTGTGAACTTCACCAATATTGCCAACGCTATCAAGGCAATTGAAGGAATGCGAGGATCAGAGGATTATAAACGATTCAAGATCAACTTTGGAAAAGACCGCTGTGGTAACCCCCCTCGCCAGGTTAACAATAACCAGAATGGCAACCGCGCGGATGGTTCCAGCAATTCTGTTAATGGGGCCATTCAGTCAGGCGGCAACCAGAACGGACAACAATCAAGCCCAAGTCGACCTGCTCTGTCCCCTGTTACTGGCTCTTCAGGATCCTTGTCCCAAAACGGCCAAAGCAAACACCCCTTACACTCCATAGCAAGCCCTGGATCTCTCATAAGCGCGGGAAGCAACAATCCCTTGACTCTTTATCTCAGCCAGGTCTCCCAACAAACTAGCCGTGAACAAGAGTCTCGCCTGGGTAACTCTATGCAGTATCCTTCACTTCAAACTCAAAACTATGGCCACTCCCAAAGCAATCACGGACATACCCATAGCCACAGTCACTTCGAAGGCACCAACGGAGTGGTAGACAATGGCGCACCAGGCGAACCTCTCCTCCAGCACAAATCGTCCCTTAACGGCTTGCTAAACGTCTCCAGCGCTTCCAATGCAGCTCAGCAGCAACACAGCCCGACGAATGGCAATACCTTGAGTGTTCCGCGTGCTCAGCACTCGCGAACCGTTAGTTTGCCATCGTTTTCCCAGGAGCGATTTGGCCAAGGCCCACATTCACATCTTCCATCACGATCAGGCATGAATCATCAAACCCAAGGGAGCTTCTCAGGCTTCGGTGGGCTAGGAGGGCTTAACCATGGCGGTTTCGGTGGCCTCTCCATAACGAATGAAGGCTCTCTTCCCGGGTGGGCTGAGGAAGAGATTGGAGCTAAATAACTCCAACTTCCCTGCTTACTTCTTTTTACCCCAACTGTATTATTTAAACTATCTTTACTCTTTCGTTCTGTGTTTTCTCCCTTTTTACCCTTACAGATCTTTTTTCCCTAGTCCTAGGACCTCATCTTTCTATGCATTTAACTCCATGTCTTATTTGTTTACCTCATTCCTGTTTGGATTGCACCTTACCCTAATTATCCCTTGGTCCCAATATCCCGTTATAATACGCCATACTACCGTTTCCTTTTTGTTTTCATACTTTATTTTCGTTGGATTCTACCCCTTGTTTGATTTTTTTTTACTCCTTAATCCCGATATGCATCCAAGATCAACCTTTACTGAAATTTTAATGCGCTTCACAACAATCATGTACCTTCACTTGTGACAGCGGTTCTAGGGTCATGCTTCGTTTCTGGCCGGTTGGAATAAGAGGCGGGAAGATAATACAGCTGCAAATATACATTGCTCATGAGCCATGAGCCCATCGTTCACTTTTCATACCACTTGTTCGATTTCCACTTTCAGCTTCTTCATATTTTGTGGTACAGCTCGTTGTCATCGGCGCTGTTCTGTCTTTGATATTTCATTTGCCTTCGCTGGTCACTTTGTCTTACTTTTGACCGACAGTGTATTTTCTTCCGCTTATGACACCCCCCTAATTGATCAAATACCCCCAATATAATAAGTAATACCCCATGATACTGGCCAAATCTACTTTATAGCCCTTTGAGAACATCATGAGCAGGAGATGATGAGGTGGAAACTGGATAGATAAATAATATTACTACCAACGAGACTGACTAATTGACTAATTGATCAAGGAGGCCAATGGACCATTTCTTACCGTAGCCTCTGAACATTTATAACCTCTTAGTTAACCGCTACAATTCTGCATTTCTATGAAATTGTTTGTTGTACTTGAACTGAGTGAAACTAAGTTGTCACGTGGCTTCCGCCCGGCCAACGTTTATTTAACGTCAGAGGAGACAAAGAATAACAAGACATGTTCAACCAGTTTACAAGACGGCGAAGTCTTCGTGTTTCTTGCCACTTAATATCGAGAGGTGTTTAGGTTGCTACGATTTGATATCTTCTTTTATAGACTGTGATTCTTAGTTGCAGCATAATGTCTCTCCCGCCTGAGCGAATCCGCATCAAGCGGCGGAGAGAAGATGAACCGGTAGAGACTCTCTGTAAGTCATCACCATGTTCAGTGTCCAGTTAGCTGCATTACTCTACTATACTATCCAGCGTAATGTGGTTTTTGATCTTGTTATTATATCTTTCACTCTGAGCCAAGATACCCTAGGCTAATATTTTTACGCCGATACCCCACGCGGCCCTACATCTTTGCAGACATTCAATCAGATATCCACCAGCCTAAGAGGCGGTTCACAGACTACGTTTTTCAACGCGTTGTTCTGCATATTGACAAAGAAAATAGCCAGGATGACCCTAAGGGCGGCCTTTCACCCCAGTCCCAGGTGAAGGGGCGACCTCAAGGCAATCGTTCTGTAACCGTCAGTCATCATACTACTAAAGCCTCCAGTACTGCGGTGAACAACTCGGGGATTCCAATTATCACTACGCCATCTACGCGTAGTGAAAAGGCTAAATCAAAGCAGAAACAGCCTATCGCTGCGGATAGAGATGAGCATGACGGCACTGATATTGAGTCAGCCAGAAGTGAATCTCCATCGTTGTCAACCTTGTCCAGCGTACCTAGAGTTATTTCTTCCGCCAAGAGGCCGGCTACAGAGCAGCCTACTAGCTCATCCATTCGTCGTTTCCATCTGGAGGCACCGAGCGCTAATGAGGACTCAGATGATAATCTGGATGTACTTCACCGAGTCCATGGAGGTATTCAAAAGAAGAGATTACGAAAAAATTCCAGCTATCGGCCTGTTATTGTGGAGAATACTGTGGTTGCCAACAAAAGGGCCATTGACAAGCCATCGAGCTCTACTAAAGGAAGCCACTCGAACCTGCATAAGGGGGCTGACGAGACTAAAAAATCTAATGCCACCATAGAAAAGCTTTCTGTAATTGGCAGAGAATGTAAAGATTCACCAAAGCTGCCCGGGTCTTATCAGCTGAGCAAAGGGACCAGGAGCGGAGAATCAGTCCTTGAAGACCCGAGCACATGGGACCACGACTCCGATAATCTTGCCAACGAGCTGGCACGTATTGCCTTGGAAATGACGAATGACGTTGACCCATCCGAGAAGGCCCTCTCGGCCACAGCAGCAGCTACAACACGCCCGGCTCCGCAAAAAAGGCCACTAAAATATAAACCACGATTGCCTAAAACACCTCGGACAGGACATCAAGGTGATCAGCATGGAGGGGTTCCTGTACCAGCTGCTAAAGCCTCAGATGGGGTAGTTACAAACAGCATTGGCTTCAACAATAATGACTGTGGTACTAGTAGTAAGCTTGATTACCACCATGCATCTGATACCCCAGAGGAACGGGCATTATCCGTGCGGGATGAGGATTCTGATTCCGGCTATGTGTTCGACGAATTTATCAGAAGACCTGTGCATGATGTTGTTGCCGACCCAAACGTTCAATATTTTCAAGATGGAAAATGGGCTGAAGGACGCGAATATCCGAAAGGTGTGGGCATTGTTGTCATTACACAAGATGACTCGCATTTCTGGGATGCGATTGCCGAAGACGATGATGAGAAGGATTGGGATACAGAGGATGAGGATTCCAATGGTGAGTCTTCCGTTCATATTGCCTCAGAGCAGCCTGCTTATACCTCTACTATAGCCGAGGATAACCCTGCGAACGAGTATCCAGATGAGGATCTCGACTTTGACGATGAATACTGTGATAACAATGCGATTTACCGGCGTTTCCGTGTAAATGCATCTGATGATGAGGAATATGATACACTTGATTACGATACCTACGGCTATCGTACTTACCCCAGCAATATGCTTAGTGATAGTGATTCGGACATTTGATGTTGCCAGTCGCGCTGTTCTTTCTGCCTTACGCTAGCTATTTTTCATTACCAAATGAATGAATCAATGAGATCCTATTGACAATTTCTTAGAATACACCTATCCTATCATGAAATGCTAGCTCCTAGGCCCTGCACAGCACCATGTTGCTGATTGGTGGTGTTATGCCTGTCTAACATTTTTGTTATGCGGCTCTTGGCATCGAATGTTTCTGTTACCGCCCTTCAACCCCGTGTGGTGGGGCAAACCACCAAACTACTGGTCTAGCAGTGCTAATATTTTTTGGCCCCCTTTCAACTTATGCAAACCCCTGGCACTTAGCTACAGGTTTCTGTTACTGCCTGTCAACTTTATGGGTTGGAAATGGGCTGTTGGTTCAGAAGATACCAGATTTCTTTTGAAAGGCTAATACGGACCCCTGACAATTAACCCTGCTATTACCAGTAAGAATTCGGAATTTTGATATCTTTGGCCTTACGAGAAACATTATGCAACTCGTCCATCTCCTTTCTCCAGATGACTATATGCTTTCTTGGTTTCTTTCTATTTCATCATGCAGCGGATTATGATTTACATATCCACTTATGGATGTTTCTACCAAGGGCTCTGTTATAAGGCCTGAGTCTTTCCCCCTCTGTCCTTCACTCGACACAAAATTGACTCGATATACAATTTACTCGATATATAACTCACTAGCTATTCTCACATAAATTCTCAGCACCATCCACCCTGAAAGCCCCTCTCTGTGGAGAATTCAGCATGCCTCTGGCCGCCAAATCATCCCCGTCAAACCAGGCTGGAACCGGAGTAAAACTCCTGACGGCGGAGGATGTGACTATTCAGCCTCTGATACAGTATTATAGCAATTTTGAACGCCATGTCAAAAGCAACTCATTGCACAAGATGTGGTTTACTGGCGACATTGAACCGTGGAGTAACTTTGAGAACGAGGTATCCAATGCTTGTTCAAAAATTCCATGGGCCAAACACCCAGACATCATCGCATACGGCCCTCCTGACGCAGGATTCAGTGAGTTTCATATAGGCTTTAGGGACCATTACGCATGTGGGGAGGAGCTGTCAATTATCACAAGATGGGCCCAACATGCTCTTCATCCCGTATCCGCTGTCAGCAAGGTCCTGGGCTTTAACCTGGTATTTGGGGACTGGAAAGCTACTTCGAAAAAGAGGATCGATTTCGTTCCAGCCGTAGAAGTTGACTCCACGATACGGGATTTGGCTAGACCTAAGGAAACGGAGACGTCCATAAATAAAGGCACAGGCAGAGAATATGTATTAAACGAAAGTGAAGATGTCATAAATGTTCGAACCAGAAGATCCTTGGTCCCTGACTATGCCTTGATGGTAGCGGCGGATGGCGCACCTCGGGCAGTTGGAGAAGCAAAGACTCCTTGGAACCATGATTTTCCACAAGTTTGGAGAGAAGTTATGGATATAGGGGGCCCGGAGCCCAAATTCCTAGCAAGGCAGACCCTAGGTAAACTATCGCTCACATTCCGGAAATTTCCCTAACTTGAATGCTGTTACTGATGGAAGACCAACAGGCCAAATCGGGAACTATATGATCGAGCTTGAGCTAAAGTATGGTTTTTTGACCAACTATATCCACACCTTTTTCCTTAAGAGAGGGGTGAACAAGGATGGAGAAGAATTGTTCTACTGCTCAAGGCCCATTCCATACGACGATTCACCTATGACTGGATCTAAGATCTCCGTTCGCCAGTCACTGCTCTTCCTTGCGGATTCTGCTCGTGGGGAGAATGCGTGGTACGCAAAGAAGATCTCGAAGACAAACATCGTGAAGAGGAAAAAAGGCGAGTCGATGAAGAAGGTGCGGGATAAATTAGCCGCAGTCACCCAAGGTAAGAAAAGGAAGGCAGCTGAAGAACTTGGTCGTGATGTCACGGCAAAAGCCACTCTTGAAGGACGCTCCTCCCGACACCGAGTCCATTTTATGGACGATCCAGAGGTTAGGAATAAGAAGCCTCGCCGTCTGGCTCCAAAAAGACGTGGCAATCTGGCCCCGAAGATCATTAGTGGGTAACTAAATGTTAAGCGTAAGTACGTTTCGGTTATCTTGTTCCTTAGTTACCTAGACAGTTTTCAATGACCGACCATGCATTTTCTACATACTACTTACCATAGGGAAATAAGAATATAAAAAACTCTCAAGTGTGAAGGCTACAGTTTTTCACACATATATTTTAGACTTAAAGGTTTTCTGAACTCCCCCATTTCCCGTATGGGGTAGTTGGTTTGTGTTTGTCAAGCGTTTGAGCTAAAGAGTGAGCCCACAATGGTGGTCGGGCGGAAGCTATATTTTTGACGTAATTTCACTTTAGTTACTTGGTATTGAAACACTTCCATTAAATAACTTTCATGTCAAAATAAATACAGAAGAATACCTAGAATACCGGCCGGAGGCTGGAGATAATCTTTCTCGAGACACAGCCCTATTCACGTTGTATCGCTGAATACTATGAATGTTAACGAGCTGAATGGAGATCTACGCGAGTTGTACTGTAATAGATCATCCTTCCAGGTGCCAGACTATGGCACTATCAAGACAAAGACTGCCATATGGAAACTCGGCCCCATTTTCTCTGAGCGTGAGAGTTGGGATGTCAACGATGACCTCTACCACGCTTACATTACCGAAGCGGCTGGCGTTTGCGTTGCGACTCAGGTGGAGGGCCCTACTCCGGGCGTACAGGGCATAGCGAAGATACGAATGCAGTAGGCATCGCCCCTGATTGTCTATGATATTTTACACTGTAATGATTCTTACTGGGCCTGCTCAGAATACCGAATGACTACGATGTCCCTGCACCTACCAAGCCTCAAAAATCTAGCTTCCGGACTAGTCTTGAGGTCCTCAGTTTGAAGGAACTGACAGAAGCCGGAAGCACTTGCACTCCAAAGCTTCTGGATCTTGCCTTTTTTAAACAGATCCGGAAAAATGACCCTCTTCCTGGTGGATTTCTGACGTTTATTATAATGGAAAGGTTGCCTGGGAGAAATTTGGTCAACTTTCACGAGTTGCCTATGTCTGAAAGAGACCAAGTCAGACTGGCCTTTGCCAAAACAATACGGTAAGTATTCTCAACTCCTAGTCTTTTCTTCCGAGACTCTAACAGTGTTTCGTTCTCTCACCAGGGAGTTTTATGCCCGAGGATACACCCACTGGGACCCCCATCGTCGCAACCTGATGTGGGACCGCGAGGATAAAAAATGGTGTGTATAAGGTTCCCATATATAGTCTTACCCAAGCGCCCTGTTAATGATCGCTACAGCTACATAATTGATCTTGAAGATGTATGCCAACTCGACGATGACTACCCCCGAAAAGTATTTACGCCAGAGAGAGATTTCCAGGTCTGGGGGATTGCAGACCCCGAAATCAATACAGGCTCGTTTGGCCTTGACCCAATGGTCCCGCATGATTGCAAGTTCATCCAGGACCCCGGCGATGAGGAACTTGAGAAAATGGCTCGGGATGTTACTGGGAAGCCATTGTACTTTGAAAGCAAAAGCCGTGGTGAATGTCAGCCGTCAGAAAATACCTCTACCACTGTGGTTGAATCTTCATAAATGAATATATGGCGTTTGGTTATAGCGTTTGTGCCTTGAGGTCGAAAGGAGGAAAATAAAACTAATTGATAAATCACTAAACTTATAGCTAATTAAAACATCTATTTAGTTATCTGCACTTCCCTTCGGTTTCTTTCGTTGCTCTCATCATGCGAAATTCATCAATAATTTTTTAGAGTAATCACTTACTCTAATCCTATCACCACGACTCAAA